CAGAGTTACAGAGAGGGCAGCACGCTGGCCTGCCTGCGGGAAGGACCCCTCCAGGGCCATGCCCGCCATCCTCACGCCAGGGGCTGCACGGACACGTGGCGGTCTTCCCTTCTGGCTGGCAGACACAGCAAGAGCGTGTGCTACTTGAGGCTTCGGAACCTACCACTGTTTCTGCACATCTTAGGCACTTGGGCGAAACATTAAAAGTATGCCTGTCAATTTTATAGGCAAAAATGAGGTTTTGTTTTATAATTTGCTGTCTTCGAAATCCAATGTTTGCTTGTACTTTTATTGGTTTTTTGTATTTCTTATTTTATGAATTGTCTATTTGTGTCATTTTCTTACTTTTGCCATTGGGTTATTACACTTTTCCTCATTGACTTCAAAGCTACTCTATGTGTAATAAGGATATTAATCATTTTTCATAGATCTTGTAAATATTTTCTTCCAGCTTATTATCTTTGAATTTTAGAAGTTTCAAAATTTTATCTAGTTAAATATATCAATCTTCCCCTTCATGCCATTCACTGTTAACAGTTTGTGTGTACTTTTCCAGACATTTTCTATGCATATGCAAATATGTCTATAAATATATATATAGTTAAATATAAAAGGTTTTCCTGCACATTTTACATAAGATCATACCAACTATTCTGCAACTTACTCATTTTGATTACTAGTATATTGAGGATAATTTCCCATTTTAAAATATAAAGTTCTAACTCTAATGGAGTATTCCATTATGTGAAATACTGTACTTTTACTGAATCAGTTTTGAAGCTTTTCTTTTTATTTTTACATTTAAATATGGAAGTTTGAGGTAGAAGAGAGAAATAGAGGCTGCAGTTTATTTATTCCAGATTTTGAGCCAGCTGTCTCAGTAGACTTACAAAGCAATCTTTCCTTTGCCTGCCGGTTTGACACAACTTAATCGTGTATTAAGTATCACCCATTCGATGTCAACTGGATCACATAGTTAGTGCCCCTATATTGAGAACCTATATTGAGTTTCTCTCTGAGTTTTCTATTTTGCTTCATTTACTTATTTATTCTTTGATCAGCACCACACTGCTGTAATTATTTTATAATATATGTTAATATCTACAAAGTCAATATTATCCCTCTATTTCATCTTTATCAATATTGCCTTGGCCAATTTTTTTCATTTATTCTGAATTATAGAATCATTCTATGAAGTCCCCAAAACATCTATTTGGAGTTTTTATTGGAATTATGTTAACTGACTAATTAAAGGATTAGCGACATAATTTGCTAATGATTACTTTAGTATATCTCTCCGTCTCTTCAAGTTTTGTTTATATGTACATCAGTGATGCTTTCTTTCTGTATGTCTTGCATTTTCCATCAAGTTTATTCCCAGATATTTTATATTTTTATTACAATTTGAAATAAAATTTTAAAAGTATGTTTTCTAACGGACTATTATTATTGTCTGTGGGAAAGTACTCATTTTTTGTTCATTCTGTAACAACTCACTTCACCAAACATTAGTTTAGTTGTTTTCAGCTGGTTCTTCTGGATTTTCATGTAGGCAGTTGCAGCGCGTGCAAAATAAATAAATAAATGCTAGAGAGAGGATAGATGGTCTTATTTCTTCTTTTATGGTATTTACACTTTGTTCCTTTTTATTTTCTTATTGCCTTGGCTAGAACCAGTTTCTGGATATACCGTATTTTGCCATATAAAAGCATATAATGCATACTTTTTTGCCCAAAATTTGTAGGGAAAAATGAGGCTGTGCATTATACAAGGGTATAATGATTACCTACCATGGGTATAATAATTGGCATAACAATCCCATGTATAATGCGCACAAAACTGTAGGTGCGCACCATACATAGCAAAATTTGGGTATCAATTAGACAATTTTTTCTCCCTGGGATTCCATTGGGATCACACACGGAGACTATTTATGATTTAATTCTACTCTTCCCCTAATATTTTCATCTCTTCATCCGTTTTGTCTGAGTTCTTGGAGGTTTTCTTGTATTTATCTTCATAGTCTCCAATTTAATTTCTTATGGCATCTAATATGTGGTTCACTGCTTCTTTTGGATTTTAACACTCAACAACCAGTATTTTTCTCTGAAATACTCATCTTTGGAAAGTTGCCAAACTTTTTCCCAATTGTCAAAGCCTCATAATGTGTCTTCCCGAAACACCCATTTAATGATGCCAGTTGTCTGTTCAAACAATTTCAGTGGGTTCTGTTACAGAACAAATTCCAGACGGCTCAGGACACCTTAGGCTTTCTGTTATCTAGTTCCAATAGCCTTCCGGCTCTTTCACCCACCACTCCTTCCCGCGGCCCTGGGTTCCAGCACACGACCCCCACCCCGCCCTGCCACCAGCCTTGCACAGTCCCTCCCCTCTGCCCACAGAGTCCTCTTCCTGCTGCTTTACCTAATCATCCTGCAAGATCAAGTTCAAAAGATGACTGACCCTACGAAGCCCTCCCGGACTCCTAAGGTGGAGAGGTTTAGGATCCCTCTTCTGTGCTTGATAAATGCTCCTTTACTCGGGCACTTTGTGCAGGGACCGCCGTTATGTCTATGTCTGACTCTGTCCAGATCGAGGGGAGGCCCAGGACGCTTCTCTGTTGATCTTGCTCACTGCTCACTGTCTCACACCTTTCTCTTCAGTAATACTCGCCAGTCCCTATTCAACTTAAACCCAGTTACCATTTATTCCACACCCGCACCAAACAGTTAAAAAGCTCACAACCGTGAGTCGTAATACAACCCAGTGATCTTACTACATATGCTTTTGTATATTCGTTCCTTACTTTCCAAAATGACTATTTCATACCTTCTTCTCTGTCCGCAGACGTCCTAAAATCCCTCTTCCCCTGATGATCTTGCCTCTAATTCACCCAGAAAATACAGAGACAATTTCCTCACCCCCCACCAGCACATCTTCCGATTCCCTGTACCCTCTGCCCCCACCGAAGGCCTCCCCTTTCACTCTGCATCCTGCCCCTCCTTCTTCCCAGAGTCTTGGCCCTGGCAATGATCTCCAGCCTGCACCCCTCCCTCTCTACTGGATCACTTCCACTGGCCTGCAAGCATGCTTCTCTGTCGTCTGTCTCTTAAAATATAAGAATAAAAGTAAAACTAAAAAAGATCTCTTAACTCTTCCTCCCACTCTAACAAGACCCCCTCCATGTCTCAGCTGTCCTCCTCACCAAAATCTGGGGTTTTTTCAATCATCTTCAGTAACTATCTCCAGCTCCTCATCTCTCATGTCATCCCCACCTGTGCTTTCTACTCCACTGAAGCCGGTCTTGCCAAGACAACAGTGATCTTCAGGTTGTCACATCACATGGTCACCACTGTGTCCTCATCTTGCTGTACCTTTCGGCAGCATTCAGTCCAGTTGACCACTTACTCCCGGCTCAGATTTCATAACAACTCCCCTTCAGGGGTGCCCCTACCTCCCTGGTCTTCTTTGCTCAATTCTTCTTTTCTCAACGTTAGAGTTCACTCATGAGACCTCTTTTCTTCCTCATGTCTAATCTTTCCATAAATAACTTTATTCTATGGATTTAGGCCCATTCATACTTTAATGACTCCCAAATTTATATATCCGGTCCCAATTTCTCCCCCAAAGTCCAGACTGTGACTCATATACTTGCTTGTATTCTAAGCAGCATTTCTAACTTATGTCTAAAACAGAACTCTTGATGTGCCCCTTCAAACATTCTCCTCTCCAAACCTTCTCTAGGTCATTAAATGGTACCATTCATCCAGTTGCTCAAGCCAAAATCCCAGCCCCCATCCTCCATGTCTCTTTCCCCGCCCCTTTCTCTGCCATACTGACTAGTTCATCAGCAAATCCCTTTGATTCTGCTTAAAAAGACTTCCCTAATCCATCACCTTGTTTCTGTCCCCATTCCTACCATCCTAGTCCAAGACACCATCATCCTTCACTGTACCACTGCAGTAGCCTCCGAACTGGTCTCCTGGCTTCCTCTCTTGCCTCCTGCCAACAACTCATTCTCCACCCAGCCACCAAAACAACCTTATAAAATGTAAATCAGACCGTATCATTCTCCTGATTGAGTCTCCTGACTAAACCTCCCGTGGTTCTGCAGCGCACTTAGGCTAAAACCCCACTCCTCATGCAGGCTGGGGAATGGGGGGGGGGAGCTGTTGTCTTGCCCCGCCCACCTCTCCAACCCTGCCACGACCACTCCCCTCTTGCTTTGCCCTGGCTGCATGGCCTTCTTTCTGTTCCTAGCTTTCCCCTGAAGGCCTTTGCAGCAGCGATTTCCTATGCTTGGATTGCTTAACTCCTTCTCACCCTGCCCTATTTTATGAGTTATAACACTAATCACAATTTAACCTTTCCTCAGGCTGGTTGGGGTTTTTTTGTTTGTTTGATCTGTGTGTCTTACCGAGAGCCAAAGCTTCCTGAGAGTACGGGTCACACTGTCTTGTTCCCTGTGGAATCCTAGCACCTGGAACAGTTTCAGGCACATACTACGTGTTCAGTAGATGCTGGCTGAAGGGATGGATGAGTCCTAGTATTCCTTGCAATGGGTGTGTTTCCTGACCCAGAGTAAGCTTTCCTGTATTTGCTGAACTAATGGATAAGTTGTTCCAGCTGCACTGTGAACTTCTTGAGAGCACAGCAAAGGCGGAAACTGTTGTACGTTTCTTTGTTCCCTCCACAGCACCTAGCCTGATGCTAGGGATTTCCAGTTGTTTAATAAACATGCTCGTTTGATTTATTCCTCTTCATCATAAAGAAAAATCCAAGTGATTAAGCTGTCTTCTTAATCAACTTTATTTCTCTCAGCATAAACACGTGACACAGGAGGAATGTCATGAGAGCCAAGATGACCTGGGTAGGAAGCTATGGGGGTGGGCCAGCCATCCTGGGTGGGAGTAGAGGTACAGGAGGGTCTGCACCTGGCCTTTCTCCTAACAGGATCCTGGCCCTAATGTGACTTTTTTTTTTTGGTGTGTGTGTTACAGAGTGCAACCTACATGCTGGTGATGGTGGACCCTGATGCCCCGAGCAGGTCAACGCCCCTGGCTCGGTTCTGGAGACACTGGCTGGTGACAAACATCGCAGTAAGTTGGCCATGAGGCACTTTCTGATTCATTGTGGATTATGGCTGAAAGTATATCATGCTCTGTGGTCCTCGGCTCCCATTCTCAAGGGTAGAGGACGCTGCTGAGCAAGGACTTCTGCATCAGGTCACCCCTAGCACCCAGTTCTCACAGCCCCTCCAAGTTTTCTCACAATTTCAAAAACTGTCCCAGGATCAGGGGTGCACAGGTAAATGGGCTCTCAGAGTACCAGGGGGATGAGCCCCGCTTTGTAGCGTTTGCTAATTTCTGTAGTGTAAATGCTCCCACCATGACTGGCTTCACAACTGACTCACAAAATTTCTGAAAATATAACAATCGGCTCTGGCACACCACTGCCAGGAGCCCAGACCTCGGGCGAGGGGTGATTCTGTGCAGTTCAGGTGGCAGAGCTGGGGCGGGGGCGGGAGTCCCGCAGGAGCTCCTCCTCCTGAGAGGAAGAGGGGTGGCCATTCTTTCCCTTGTACAGAAACAAATGGCCTCCCCTTGTCCTTGTCCCTTTGCTGTCCTGTGTGAGAAGGAGCCTGGCTCGCACTCTTGGGAGGAGGTCTGAGGAGGTCAGATCTGGCGGATTGTCAATGGACAGTGTGTGGGGCTGGATGGAGGGAAGGTTCTATTGACAGACAAGTTTTGGAGACTCTGGGTTAACCTGACTCCATTCCATTCCTCCCTGAAGGGCTTTGCAGAGCTTTCAGTATCTTAATAGGCACTATGTAACATGCATTTAATTTTCGGCCTCACTTGACTGTTGAATCTTTTGTTCATGAGCACTTTGGGCAAACCCACACTAGCTTCAAGCATGTGCACATCTCTGCCTAGAAAGCCCACCGATGACCTTTGCATAGAGTGTGCAAAGGCATCAACCCCATAGGATGGTGGGAACCCAGAACTAGAAAGGCATGGATTCAGGCATGGCTGGTTCCCAACTCAGTGACCACCTCAGGTCACTCGCGGGCTCTCTGGTGTCTCATCTGTCTGTAAGAGGCGGTTGTCATGATGACCCAGTGAGAAAGCACACCGAGAGCACTTGAAGTAGGTGGAGGATCCTTCGGGTTCAAGGAGCTTGTGTTCTTCCTTCTAGCTCTATGGGAGGAAGGGGTATCCATCTGAACTGGCTATTTTGATGTTCCTGAGCAAGGCAAGGGTTCCCACCACCACTGGCGTGCGGGTGTGGGGGAGTTACCCTGGCAACCAACCCTGCCCAGGGACCACAGGCTCTTCCCAGGCCCTTCCCACTCCTGAGGGAAAGCAGCGGAGCTGATCTGCCCACTACCCCACCAAGCCGCCTCGGCCTGCTGGGGAGACTTGGAGACACCATGAGCATGCGGAGGGGCAGAGTGAGGGGAGGCTCATGCCGTCAGGGCAGGGGGGAGAGCTGAGGGCACAAAGGGAGAGATACTGGAGCCTGTGCCCATCCAGAGCATTGCTATTTTCTGTGCTTGAGACTCCATGGTGGTCGTAAGGAGAGGAAACTCTCAAAAAAGATGTTACACTTACAGGCCACCACCCACACAAGGGTGTCTCTAGGAAGGTCCTACTGGGCAATTCTGAGGCCAGAAATCAGAAGCTTTTGGGGGATGAAGTAGTAACGTCGCGTTGAGGCTGCCTCTCTTCCAAGCCTGATGTCTCCCCACCCGTTCCTCTCACCCCACTACTCACTCCAGACAGTTCTCTCATGTGAGCCTTGTGCCTCAGCAGCTCATCTCAGAAGCAAAACAGGTGGCAGGTGCAGGTGGCAGCTGTCCGGCAAGGCCGCTAAGCCACAGAGCTTACCAGGGCCACCTGCCCGGGTGCGGCCCTCGGCCTTCCAGCTCAGGCCGGAGGAGGCTTGGGTTTCACTCACATTTTCACCCACTTTCCCTGATGCAAGGGCCAGCAGGAAGCAGCAGCTCTCAGCTCTATCCACTTGGCCTATCCACCAGCCCCCGAATTACACCAGCTCCAGACCCGTGCAAACTGGGCTGTTTGGGTCTCGGGCTGTGGACCTTGGCCAAGGGAAGACAGGACTCTAAGGACACCCAGAGGCACTTCCTTTGTGTTGGTGTGAGCGGCTGCAGAGTGGTTTCAAATAAGCTTATTAAAATGCAGATTCCTGGGCGCCACCTCAGGCAGTCTGGAGAGGGCTCAGCATCCACACTTAACGAGTATCCAGGAGGAGTTTAGCAGCTTGAAGGAAGACTGGAGAGCCCTGTGTCAGAATCCCCAGTTAATCCCCAGTTAATCCCCATTAACATCATCCAGTTGTAGAGCAATTTTCAAGTGAAAAGCACCTTGAAAGTTCCTTTCAATCCTCGCAACAACTTCGTGAGCTGGGCATTATTCCCATTTTATAGATGGGCAGAGCAAAGCCTGGACAGATTGAATGGTGCAGCCTCTCAGCTCAGTGGGCTTCAGAGGTGGGTCTTCACTCCTTGCAGCCGGTATTCATAGCACATCTCTTCTGTCCACTCCCCTGTGACAGGGGTGTGTCCCTCTGCCCTCTGCAAAATGGGGACCATGGTGTCTATGCTTCTGCACCAGATGGGGCCCTGTTTCTGGTTATTTTTTATGGGTAGATGCATCCAGCCACCCTCCCCAGAGAATGCTACCTTGGTAAACAAAACACACCTGACAAGCATTTTAAACTTCATAAAAGTGAACTCTCATATTATCATCATCTTCAACAGTAAGTGGCCTCAGCAATAAGGCGTGCCATAAAGTTGTTCAAAACAGTGGAGTGACAATGGCCCTACGATTCACAATGGCCACAGAGGCAAACTTGGTGGAACCAGAGGGGCCCAGGCCTAACTGGGTGGTGGACTGGGGGCCCAAGCTGGGGAGCTCCTCAGCAGGGACAATTTTGTGGCTGTTTTCCCAGGTTAAAACAAGACAGCAACCAGTTCTTAACAATACGGGAGGCATTTAGCTCCTCCCACAGAGAGGCTGGCAGGGCCTGTGACAAATGAGCCCTTAAGTAAAACTAAAAGCTAGAGAAAAGTCCATCAGCAGGGACCAGGCGTTTGTGGTTTGCGTTGCTCCTTTAATTCCACAAACACGGACTGACTATTATTGGCCACAGCATAGTATGTAAGAGCATGGACCCTGGAGCCAGACAGCTGGGGCTCCAGTCTGAATCCGCCAGCCCTGACTCCGTGATTTCAGGAGGCAAGGCGTTCAGCCTGTGCCTCAGTAGGCGGGCTTGTGAAGAGGGTACACCAGGAGCCCCTATCTCGCGCTGCTGTTAGGAAACGTACACGAATTGTTTTAAGTCAAGTGTTTAGGACAGTACCCAGAACGCAGAGTAAGCTGTCCATCACTGGTGGCTGCGATGCCATCATTGTTGCCTGGAGTCAGATGCTGTGCCTGCACTAGGGTCACAGAGGCAAAGTGGGGACATCCCCACCTCCCGAGAGGCAGAGAAAGGGGGATGCGGCATGGGGTGGGGTTGTGGGGGCACTGGGGCTCCCTCCGGTCAGAGCTTCCTGTGCCTGCAGCTTCCCATTGGCTCAGGGGCAGGACTAGACTTCGGTCCCCAAACCTGGCTGTACCGGACCAGGCAGGGACCAACACAGGAAGTGTGCGTCCTTCTGGTCCCCCTCCTTGAAAATCCCTCCTGGAGCACTGACCCGCATACCACCTTCCACCCCCAACCCATGCCTCATCCTTAGCATTTCCTTTAAGATGTTTTTCAGTTCTGATTCAATCTAATGAATACTCTTCATGCTACAGCCTAATTAAGATATCAATTAATTTACATCACTCACTTCAGGAGAGATGCTTATTGGTTCATCTTCTGTTTGTGTCTGAATGTAGTGCTCAGAGCTTTTCATGCAGATATTTTCATTAGGGTTTTTATTGTTCGTGGGAATATCGAACACAGGAAGATGGTATATTACGATGAAATATGATTGGTGACAAAGAACACTGAGAACAATTAAGGAGGCAAGAGTACCTTTTTTCCTACAAAAAAAGAAAAATCTTCCTAGAAACCGTCAATGATTCTAAAATTTGCCCTGAATATCTTTTTTGTTTCAATAAAGAAAAGGAAATGGCAAGTTCACAGTTCCCTTTCATTCAGGGCCCTCCACCTTTGGCAGCTGTAAGTGCAACCAATTCTGGGTTGAATCAAAAGGACCTCTAAGGATTCATTATTCTGTCTACAATTTTCTATAGTGTTGGATTTTTCCATAATTAGAGGGTTTTTTGAAGGACCCCTAAGTGTGAATAAGATGAATGGGAGACCCAGTAAACAGGGCTAGGACCATAGCCCCCTGCTTTCCAGTTATGCGGGCGGCACGTGGCAGGGCTCTTGTATTGGAATGATCGCTCCCACTACTGAGTGATGTCAGACAAGTTACTTGACCTCTCTGAGGCTGCTTCTTGTCTGCAAACCTGACACAAATCCCTGCTCTTCAGGGCTGAGACAAGGAAAAAGGAAATTACATATGCAAAGAGGAGATGCCTCCCCAGAGAGAGGTACTGTAGAAAGCGACGAATTTATCCCTGTTCCTAATCAATCGAGCAGCAGATCCTGTAGAAATTTAAATATATGTATATATTTATTTATATAATCTGATTTTCTATGTGCTCATAAGCAAGCTCATGATAATAGACAGAAGAAGAATAAACGATCTTTATCAGGACCACATGTTCAGGCAAAGAGGTCAGGGGAAGGAAATAGAATTAGTTTTTAGTCTCACTGCTGCTATCTCTGCACGCCTCTGTGCATGCTTTGCCCTGGGCCGTGCAAGGCACAGCTTATGCTCCCGAAGGGCATGTAGGCCAGATCTATGGGCCCCAAGGAGCAGTTGGTGATGGGGACAAGGCAGACGGGCCTTGGTTATAAGCCAGGCTTGGGCGTGGCCGCCAGAAGGAGAAAGGAAAGAGCCTGCACATTCAGGTCAGATGAACCAGGGGAGGTACCAGACTCTGCCACTTCCAGGTGGTAATCTCTGAGCCTCAGTTTCCTGACCATGGAAATGGGCACAATAATAATGTCTATT